TTGGTTTGGGGGTCTATCTGACTTGGTCTTTTACAAAACTTATTGGAAACTTGAGGTGGGATGGGACGTGGAGAGAGTCAAAACGATGAAGCCCTTTCCCTATTAATGTCAGCAGATCCAGATCTACTGAGGTGTAGGTACTATTCAGCCTTCCCGATGTTGGACTGCGGATCCCATCAGCCATAGCTAGCACAGCTAGTGGTGAGGGCTGCCAGAAGCTGCACCCCCAGGAACATCTGGAAACACCAACATTGCCTACCCACAGTGAAATGGTGCTCTCCTTTCTGAATACCAAAACAGCTGGTTAGTTAAGTACAGTAATTGCCACTAGAGATGGGCACGAACCAGTTCGCAAAGAGGCAGCACAGCTGCTGCTCCCCTCCACCTCCTCAGCCAGTCCAGCCCCCGCTGGCTTGCTTTCCCCACCACCTGGGCTGATCTCCCAGTCATGAGCAAGAGCCCAGACTTCTCTGCCACGCCCTTTTCTCTGATTGGCAGATCAGCCCAGAGGGGAGGGGCAGAGAAGCCTGAGCTCTTGCCGGGACTGGAAGATCAGTTGACGGACTGATGGGCGAGGGGATCACCGCCCAAGCTCCACTGTAAACTCCTTCACCTTCTCACAGCCCCCCACATGTTTTTCACATGGTTCTGCTTATTTATTTATATTCCATCTAGAGCCGAGCCATGATGCTCCTTGTGACCTCCAACTTCCCACCTATTATCTTTGCCACGGCTGCTCTTTCTTAACTCTTCTAGAAAGCTGCAGGACGGTTATGAACACATAGGTCAGCAATGCATCGATATTTAGTCATGCAAACACTTAAGCTTGTGCAACTACCGGCAAAACAAGGCCCGTGAGCCTCATTTAAAAGATCCCCAGAAGAGTATAATTCCCCCCCAGTCTTCAAATTATCTCTACTATTGACTCTTTTGTTGCTAAAGACACAAGGAAGCAGTTTTGTGCAATGACACATTTAAACATTTAGTGCAACTGCTAAGAGGATAGCTGACAAAAGAGAGAAAGCTCACAGTTTTCAGTTCTGCACAGTGGGATCAGTGCAAAAAAAAAAAAGACTTAATGTTCACATTAGACAGATACCTATACTAAATGCTTTCACGGTGTGCATTCCTTTTAAGAGCATGTTTTATTCTTAACTGCCACTTCAGATTGCCCACCCTGGCATCTATCTAAATTCAGGTGCATCTCTGAGAAGCATCAACTTGAAAGCCAAAAAAAAAAAAAAAAAAAAGAATACTGCTAGCAGCTCTTCAACCCTGGACGTTCAGTCCACCTTCACATCAAGGCTTGGTTTATGTGAACAAAACAAAGAGTTTTGATTTGCCTATAAAGACCTTACATGATGAATCCTGGAGTGGTTTTCCTGTGTAGTAAGCATCACCCGCACAGGGACTTGATTTGTGAGCTTCATGTGCAAACACGGGGGCATTTTTAGCCTTTGGAATCCTGTGGACAGGAGGGGAAGCAGAGCTTGGAATTTTCCTCTCTTTTTTTTTTTTACACGACACTGGTCAGAATCTGCTGGCCAGCATCACTATTTCCAGAATCCCCTCCCTCCTCCAACCGACATGGACACTGGCCATGCTGGTTGAGTGGGGGTGGTTCTGGGGGTTGCAGTTTCCCCCCCAAAAAGTATGTTTTCCAGGTTCTCTGGACATGAGTTAAGGGAACTGGAGATGTTTGCAGGAAGTGGTGGCTGCTAACTAGAGATGGGCATGAACTGGTTCGTCCCAGTTCATCAAGGCAGCAGCACAGGTGCTGCTGCTCCCCTTCCCCGCCTCTGTCAGTCCCTCGCCAGGCCCGGCTGGCATGTTTTTTCCACCCTCAGTCCCTCGTCAGGCCCGGCTGGCATGTTTTTTCCACCCCTCCTCAACTGATCTTCCAGTCCCGGCAAGAGCTCAGGCTTCTTTGCCCCCGCCGTCTTGGCTGATCTCCTGCTCTCGCTCCTGATTGGGAGATTAGCTGAAGAGGTGGAAAAAAGCCAAGCGCGCTGGGCTTGGCGAGTGGCTGTTTGAGCCAGAGGAGGTGCGGGACGGGAGCAGCAGCACTTGCCACCTTTACGAATCAGGACAAACTGGATCGTGCCCCTTTCTACTGCTAAGTCTCAAAGAAGTGAAAGAAAAAGCTGCTATCAGACCCATGCCTTAAGTTCTTGGTGGAATTCTTGGAACCGATGAGTTGCCTACTGGACTCTACGGGAGGTGGTCCCGAGTGAGACAAGGCGAGGGGCGGCCTCACCTCTCCAGGACCGCCGGGTCTTAGAAGCCAGAGGGCTACAAGGCTCTCCAGAAAAGTCTTCCTTCCCAGCACAGGTAAAGAACTCCTCCCCCCTCCAGATATCATCAGATCCCCCAAATCCAGTCCGTTGCAAACCTGTTTAATTTGTGGCCAAGGAAGGTAAGAATCTACAGGCTTCCAAGCCAAGAGGGCTGGGGAGGCCGGGGGGTTACCTATCATCCTTCAGTGAAAAGGGCCTCATAGGAATCTTCAAGGTGGACGAAAACACACACATACAAAGCGCAACACACTTGACCCACCAAGATCTGTAGACTCTGAAATAATTTCTATATGCCTTCCCTATCTACGTCCTTGCTGAGATAAATAGGTGCGTAGGTCTATAGTTCCCCTTTTAGGTTTTGACAGATCCTCAAGGCGTCTGCGTGTCTTCTAGAGATTCCCTTGTCCCTTTCCAAAATGCAAACACCAGACACCGTCCCCACTCCCCTGAGACCTCCTTCCACTCATGCATCGCTTCCAAGGGAGAAAATGAATCTTGCTGAGAAAAGAATCCACCACTACAGCCCAAGACATGATGGTCTGTATAGTGTAGACAGCAAACTTGCTTTTTCGTTAGCATACAAGGTCAGATTCTGATCTACGACTATGCGGAAGGAGCCAGCAGTCCAGCGGTCTGTTTGACTCTGCAGCCCCTCTCTCCGCGCTCCGAAGTGTTACAGACCCCCACTTGAACGGAAAGGGTGGTTTTGTCGGTTCGTCCCACAACCCCGCTCTTCAGTACTGGTTGTGCACCGTTTTACTCAGGCTCTCGTTCCCATTTCTCATGGATTCTAAGAAATCGAAGTTTTGGTGCAAAAAGAGGATTTGGTCCAGATTTTCAGGGGCGAGGACGCCTCTCCGGTGCTCCAGGGCACTCTCGCTGGCGGCGAAAGCCTGATCGGGCGGCACGACCGTCGCCGGGATGGCCAGATACTGCCGGGCTAATCTGGCTACGGAAGGAAAGCGGTGCTCGTTATTCTTCCACCAGTCCAAAGGGTTGGTGCTCCGCTTGCAGAGCGGCTCCACAATGTAGTTCTCCAGCTGTTGATGGATCTCGGGCATGCTCTCCGTCGGGTCTTTCCCCAAAAGGATGTCGTACATGCTCTGGGACTGCCCGCTCGGACCTCTTTCCTTATGGGCCGAAAGCTGGCCGGCCGCATCCCCTCCGACCTCCGCTTTGTAATCGGCATTCGGCACCCAGAATTGGTTGGCCAGTGGGGACGGGTGGTTGAAGAACTGGGACAACATGCTCTTGATTTTCTTGTGCAGCTCGCTCCGGAGGCTGGGGCTCAGGAACCGCATTTCCTTGAAACGGGGGTCTAAGAAGGAGGCGACCACGGCGGGGCTCTCCAGCAGCTTCTCGTCATCTAGGATCCCCCAGCGCTGGGTGAGCTCGGTCCTGATGTTGTTCACCACCACGGTCTTGATGATGCCGCTCGCCTCTTCCGATTGCTGACCGATGGCGGTGACGATCCCGTGGATGCAGGGCATCAGAGAAGAGATGGAGAAGTTCTGCTCCTCCCTCAAGAAGGACGTGGCGATCTTAAGCGTCCTCATGACGGGGACCAGGTCCTGCAAGAGCTTCCACTGGTGGTCGGCCAAGTTCTGGACCACGGATGTTCCCTTGGGGTGTTCCTCCAAGACGGACATGATGGCCCACTTGAGGTCCAGGAGGCATTCGCACATCTCAATGGTGGTTATCCACCGAGCCCCAGTGTCCATCACCAGCTTCAGCTTAGTCTTGTTAATGGCTTCCAGTTTGCTGTTGAGGGAACAGGTGGCTTTCGCGTCCTGCTGGAAGTAGCAGACGATGCTCCGGGCGGCGCTCAGGGCCTCCTGCACCTGCTCCACCTCCAGCCCCGCCTTGACGCACAGATGCAGCAGGTGGGCGGCGCAGCAGAGGCTGGTCCAGCCGTAGACGCCTTTGAGTTGGGACGCGTTCGCCTCCATATCCTGGAGGCTGTCGTGCATCACGCAGAAGACGGATTTATTGGACAATCCAAAGTCCGTCAGGACCGAGTAGAGCCGGTCTCCCAAGTGGCTCTCGGCTTTGTTCTCGTGCACCTGCTGGGTCTCCAAGATGCACCTGGCTCGCCGCCACTCCCCGTCGATAAAATGGGTCATGATGGTCAAGTAGGTCTGGTTGGGTTGAGACAGCCAGAACTCAGCACAGATCACAATGGACTGGGCGGTTTGCAGGTAATGTTCCAGGTGCTGCTTGACCACGTTGTAGCGGTGCCACAGCATGCTCGAGAGCTGCATCGGAGACGGGAGAATAAAACTTGGTTCTAGGTAGCCAATGAGGAGGCCAAAGCCTTTGTCTTTCACAACCGAGAGGGGATGGAGATCCCGAAAAATCATTTCTAGCACCAGCTCCAAGATCACATCGGTCCTGGGTTCCGGGCAAGGCCCAGAGTGGTACTGATTGTTGCTTTCGGGGGTCAGCTGGCGGGCCCGCTTTATGGCGCTCTCCTGAGCCGCGTAGTCCGTCTCCGAAACCTGGTCATCCTTCAGCTGCGAGAGCAAGGTGTCGCGGATGCTGTGCTTCCTCACCAGATGTTCCCTCATGGTCGTGGTGCTGTTGTGGAAGGACAGCTGCTTTTTGCACACGTTGCACTCCACGTAGGCGTCGCCCAGCTTGGTGTAATAGTTCCATACTTTGGATTTGCGGCGATCGACGTAGAGAGAGGTGCTGGTGCCGTCGTGGCCACTGCCTTTCTCGCGCCTCCTCCTGGTGCACGGGCCCAGGTTGGCTGGCATGGCACACGTGTTGAAGACCATCGAGATTTCCTCTGTCGGAAGGGAAGGGAAGACCAGTAACTCCACAATATGCTCCTAATTCAATGCAAAAATTACCAAGAGTTGGTGGAGACCCAACTACCTTGTGTGTTTCTTAAAATTTTTGATAAAGAGCTGGAACAGGCCCCTGTAGGTTCCATTCTTCCTTTCACCCAGCTCATCCATTATATTAGGATTAGAAAGGGGCGCGTACTGCTAGTTTGGCAGTTTGCGCCGGTTCGTTTATCGGTGCTTTAAAGCCCCGCCTCCTCCAGCAGCCGCCCATTCAGAGGCTGCACCTCAGCTTCCCTGCCTCTGATTGGGTGCCCATTAGAGAGGGGCACGTAGTGTTGGTTCAGCAGTTCGCGCCAGTTCATTTATCGGTACTTCAAAGCCCTGCCTCCTCCAGCAGGCGCCCATTCAGAGGCTGCGCCTCAGCTTCCCTGCCTCTGATTGGGTGCCCAACAGAGCAGGCAGGGCTTTGATGAGCAGAACACATGTTCAGCCGATAAACGAACCAGCGTGAACTGCTGAACTAGAATTCGTGCCCATCTCTAATTAGGAAGAGCGAATTGGCTTATGTTCTCTCTCTCTCTCTCTTAGGTCCCCAGCTCAAGGAATGGTGGACCAATCTGTCTAACACCGTAGATTTTTGTTGCCTGCGCAGCTGGGACCTCTTGGAGAACTACCAGAACACATGTTCAGCCGATAAACGAACCAGCGTGAACTGCTGAACTAGAATTCGTGCCCATCTCTAATTAGGAAGAGCGAATTGGCTTATGTTCTCTCTCTCTCTCTCTTAGGTCCCCAGCTCAAGGAATGGTGGACCAATCTGTCTAACACCGTAGATTTTTGTTGCCTGCGCAGCTGGGACCTCTTGGAGAACTACACTACACCGCCGTAGATTTTTATTACATGCGCAGCTGGGACCTCTTGGAGAACTACATGTTTCCTCAAATAAACCTAAAACCTGCCTGACAGACTTAGAAACATAACCTTTTTTGGAGGTTCTACCTGATGGTCTTCAAAGAGATGATCCAAAATATGTAACCGCACAAGGAATCCCATGAATAAACAAACAGGAGGGGCAGAAGACACCTTTAGAAACCATCCTTTCTGGGCAAGAGACTCATCAAAGGAACCCCTCAGACTGCTTGGAAGCTTTACAATGGTCAGTAAACAGTCTTTTCAGGAACCTTTAAGCTGTATTCTACCTGGAGGATTCTGAGATTATAGTCCAAAAGCACGCATCTGCTCTCGTGTCGTAGAAACAAAAGCCTACTTTACCCGGAGAGGAACTAGACAGGGCTTTAGACCTTCTGTTATAGTCATCCTTTTACATACAAGGTTTAAAGACATGAAATAGGGATAGATTTTTAAACCACTCCCCTTAGTAATTGAAAATTGTGCTGATGCCATTACTAATTATTATAGTAATTGTTAGTAATAATTACAAAATAACTGGTTAGCTAGCTCCAAGGTTTAGATCTTCAGCTGCAGAGCCAGAGGTTGGGGGTTCGATTTGGTTTAGATCTCCAGCTGCAGGGCCAGAGTTTGGGGGTTTGATTCCCCCACTGGGTCTTTCAGGAGACGAGCCAGCCTGGGTAGCCTTGGGCCAGCTGCACACTGTCCCAGGGCTCCCCCTAGAGGAAGGGGATGGGAAACCACTTCTGCATATGCTCTACCTAGAAAACCCCAGAAAGGGTTGCCATAAGGCAGAATTGACTTGAGGGTGTACAAATTATTATTAAGTATTACAAAACCCTGTGCACCACCTAGATAGTGCCTGCGTCCCGCCTTCACATCGGCCAAATCACTGTTTTAGGCGGAAGGAAAGACATTTCCATACCTTGCACGGTCTGAGCGTAGGACGGAGTCAGTATAGGGAGAGCTCGCACCTCTATGATCTCCTCCTTAGGCTGAGCGTCTCCTTCGTTATCCTCAAGTTTGACACATCTCTGCAAAAACTCGCTGGCCCTTTTGGGCCTCACATCTTCCATTTCGGTCTTGGAGGGTGCATCAGAGGGGGGAGGAAGAAAGAAAGATTTACCGTAAGAAACGGGAATGGAGGAGCGCTGACCCACCGCAGCCGCTTCTGCCCTACGAAGGTTTACACGGGTGAATTGCCTTCACTTTGGCCCAGCGTTCCCTCGGAACCCTTTTCCTTGCAGGAGAAGGAGAGCAGAAAGTCCAGTCCTTGTCGGACTGCAGTTTTTAGGCGATAGAAATAAGGAATCAAGGAAGAAGTGACTACATGGCTTCTCCACATTCATTTAAAAAGGTTCTGCTTGTAAACCTCGGTTGAAAATAAATGTCTACGGATTGTATGGCTTGCCTTTTTAAAATGACCAAACTAGAACGATCGTAGTTTGAGACGACAAAGCTTACCGGAAAAGACCACCATGAAAAAGTTCGAGGAGGAAGAAAACGGAGAAGAACAGACTGAGATGGAAATGGCCATCATGCCAGGAAAAGGGGAAGGTAGCAGGAAAAGAGGAAGATGAAATATAAGATGGGCTGACTCTCTAAAGGAAGCCACAGGCTTGAGTTTAGAAGAGCTGTGTAGGGCAGCTGAGGACAAGACATTCTGAAGTTCACTCATTCAGAGGGTCACCATGAATCGGAGGCAACGTGACAGCACATCACAACAGCCACAAAAAGGAGGGTGGATTCCTGGAAGGTGGGACCCAAATAATTGACTTTCCCCAGCACTGCTTATAAGATGTTTGCTAGCTTGCATTCTGTCTAGCGACCTCCTCTTTTTAAGACAGAAAAACAACAAGAAAAAGAGCAGTGTGATCCTTACACATTACGAAAGCAGGCTCACTACGAATTTTTAGAAACCTTCTCAAGAACCCATTCTTCTCTAATTTTGAAAGAGACCGCCTAGAAAACATGCCGGGCACAAACTACATGCATGCATGATGTTCACATTTCCAAGCATGTGCTGTGCAGACACGTCTTTCTGCTGCTTGGGAGTGACTCGGCTAAAAGGGCAGATTCTCCGGAGAGAGAGAGGACCTGCTTTGACGCAGCAGACAAAGGCGTTGGTCGCTCCATTGCCTCCGCCTTTCAAATGTCCCCAGCGTTCGGCTTCCCGAAAGGGAGGGGTCTTCAGGCTGCGGCAGCAAGAGCAACGAAGGGCAGGAACCAATGCTCCTGATGGTCTGTGCTCGCCGCCGAAAGCACTGTCGGAGAGCCGCGATTCGGGCAGCCTTTCTTTTGGGGCGCCCGACTTCAGCAGGAGTCTGAAGCTTAAGTCCCGAAGGACCAATGGTCAAACAAAGCAAGGCTCGCTGGCAAATTAGGTTGGGTGAGAAAACCTCCTGAAAAAGCTTCAATCAGATGACGGCCGAATTCTGCCTGTAATGTTTGTTCATGCTCAGAGACTGGCATCTGAACGAACAATGTATGACAGAAGGCCACCCCCCCACCCCCGCATTGATGGGGAAAATCCATTTCTCACTATTTTCCTACACCTGCCTGACCCCAGAATCTCTCCCTAAAGATCCTCCAATTCTCATCCTCTGTATTATGTGTTTTTTGTGTTTTGAACTTCAGGATGTGCTTTCCTTTGGGCGCTGGCTCATTCAGCAGCCTCTGTTGGGAAGCCCCTTTGTGCTAAGTCATTCCTCACCGTTCTCATAGGTTTTCAGGTGCGTTTTCCCCCATGGAGATATTTGCAATGTATTTTTGCACCACCCTGGCCTTGCAGAAGCCATCCCCTACGTCGGACAAGTGGGTGGTCCACTCAGTTGACCTTAAGCAGCACCTCCCATTTCTTGATGCCACCACCAACCTCAACAGGACTTCGGCGTGGAACGCAAGGAGTGGGCAGATCCTCTCCTGGCTAAATCAGCACAAAGCTCGGTCCTTAGGGAGGGAAAGATCTCAGGCTGGCAGATCAGTCTCTCTACACTGGTGGGGCTTCTGGAAACCACCAAGTCGGAGAAGCACAGGTCAAAAATCCGGGTGGTTTTGTCCAGAATTTGAAAACGTTACATTTCTGGACCACAATCCCCATGTTTTCTCAGACCTTCCAACGACTGTGTCTTGGGGAGGTCGCACGACACACACACACACACACACACACACACACAAAAGACCCTTTTCCAACTGGGAATACACAACATCCACTGCTCTTGCTTCCCTCTTAGACTGTTAGGAACACTGGCACAGATCCTGTGTCCCCTTCCTGGACTGATGATGGTCACTGGCAGGAAGGGGATGCCCACAAAAGCAGTTTACACCTGTTCGTAAATGAGACGATTCTCTACCTCGCCCACTTTTCCAGCAGCAAAAGGTCTTCCTTCCGGTGACTGGCGACCAGCTCCTCCGCTGGAAGGTGGAGATATTTGTACCCCAGGTTTCCAGCTGGTCTTACAATAAATAAATTTGCCTAACACAAACAATGCCTGTGGCATTTTGGGCCGGCACACTGGACACACTTCCTACAGGCTTATCCCCATTCAAAGCAGTGGGGCTTGAGAAAATATGCTTAGGGCTGCTCTGTTAATGTTTGCAACCATTAATATTAAAAAATATATTTCAATTACAACACGCCAGCTTTTAAATTGGGGGTCACATTCCCCGGTGCTTCACTCTTTTTATTTATTTATTTTGCAGTAAAAAGAAGAAAAGCAAAATGTATTTCACATAGTTATCTCTAGCATTAACCGTTTTTTTTTTAAACAATAGGAATGTGAAATTTTAATTAATGAAGCATGCTATTCACTCAATGCAAGCTTGCAGCCTTACACGTAACATGATGTAGCATCGGAAGAGGGCCAGGGGCTCTATTGCCATCCATCTTTCACCCTCCAGGGGCGCTTCCCAGTCGTGGGTCCCCAGCACTACTCATTAAATGGCATTTTGCAGTTATTCCATTCCAACCACCCAGCAGACTTTGGGTGGCAGGTTAGAGAAAATAGATGCAGCCACAGCGGGAAGCTTAGAAATGAGAAAATGTCCTTGTGTGGAAGACTGCAAAATCCTCTGAATAAGGTTGGGCCTCCTTAGGAAGCACCAGAGGAATGATTGCAAGAGGGGGGACGATCATCTATAGAAAAGCAGAATCTTAAAAGGTAGCTTTGGAGAGAAAAGTCTGTATGCACAGCACATATATGGATACAAATACATATGCACTTAGGAGATAAGGAAAGACACATCATCAAGGTGATACATGAAAAGATGCTGCAAAATATATGAATTTCCGAAGGGGGAAGATATAAAAGGTCATGCACCTAAGAACAGGTGCTTCTTAGCCCCACCGGACACTCAAGTGCGACTGTGTTTCAGTTTAGGTCATCCCACGGAATCTGGGGGACCAGAAAGGCAGGCTCATCTTTTGCAGATCTATTTTATTTCTCCCCAGAACCGCCGCTTCCGCCTCTCTGTCCTTTTAACCACATGTAACACTCCCAGGCACCCGAAACGTGTAACTGTTAAGGAGCAGAACCCCCCTTTGAGAAAGTGGATTGGGGGGGGAGTGGGGGAAAAAAACAGGGAAAGCATGCAAGCAGAATGGACTTCCCTCTGTCCGTAGGTATATATATATAGAGAGAGATCTGATCTGATACTCACTCCTTTGTTATCCTGAGCATCGCGCAGCCTCAGCTGTTTGCAGTCCCTCACAGCTCCTGGCGCAGCAAAATGGGAATTACAGGCTAACCCTTGTTCGGGAAGTAATTCCTTCAGGGGTCCTCTGAAAAGTTCGCAGCAGGAGGAAAAACGTCCCTGGACTGCAAGATGATGCTGAAGAGACGATGGAAGCCAGCCCAGCTTGTGCCTTTTCAAAAACTGGATTTTTAGAAGCCTCTGCTCTGATTGCAGTGAGTGATTGAGGGATTTCACATCATGCTCATTCACAGGAGCGGCCAGAAGCACAGAAAGCCATAGATGATGAAGCCAGAGGCTGTTATTAGGGTTGCCATAGCTATGATTCTTCTTCTTCCCTTGCAAAGCACTTAAAATTTGCTAAGTGCTGTACTCAAATGAAAGATCAAGTTCAGGTAATAATCCTTGAGCTGCAGACCTGGAAGGGACCCTATGGGGTCATCAAGTCCAGCCCCTTTCAAGGAGGCATGGTGGGGAATCGAACTCCCAACCTTTAGCTCCGCAGCTAGATACCTAAATCACTGAGCGGTCCAGCAGTTCCTTACAATGAGATTCAGGGTGGACTTGATTTTGAAGCAGACTTGCACAGGACTATACAGCAAAACAGTCTTGGCCTGTCACAGCCAGATAGATCCAAAGCAAACATAGTGCGTCCTCGCCAATGTTGCTGGATTACAACTCCCATTGTCCTCTTCATTGGCTGCAGATTAGGGCTGATGGGAACTGCAGTCTAGTTACATCTGAAGAGCTGGGCTGAGGGCTGCAATTTACCCTCACCCCTGGAATAAACGCTCTGCAAAAAGGAGGGTGGAAAGAATGGTGAGAGGAAAGGAGAGGGAGCAAACACAGGGATCAAAATTACTTACATTACATCTCAGCAAAACTGCTTTTAATATTAACACGTTTATTAGTTATTTCTGCATTCAGCAACCAGACTCCCAACCATGTCTACTGCTATCCCAAAAACTCCCTCTTTGTTGACGATATTGTAAAGTCTAAAGCACTTTATTTTCCAAAGGTTCAGACTTGATTTGTTCTAGAACAGTGATTCCCAACCCTGGCCCCCAGATGTTCTTGGACTGCAACTCCCAGAAACCTTTACTGGGCTGGCAAGGATTTCTGGGCGTAGTAGTCCGAGAACATCTGGGGATCCACTGGTCTAGAACCATTCATTTGCCTTTTCGGCAGGCCATGGTGTTCTTAAACCTCTCTTCCACCACCACATTTGAAATACACTGGTTTCCCCTCCCCAAAGCCTTCTATTTAATTTTTTAGCGACTCAATAAAAGGTATTACTCTATCTCGCATTTGTGCCATTCCCCCCACCCATAACCCTCATTTTCTAGCTTTTATCATAAGGGGCATGACCTGAGTGTTCACCTCCTGTCACACAGCCTTCCTTGATGTTTCCTCCCTTAGTCTCCTATTGCTAATTGCCGCCGGAGTAGAGCCATTGGGTTTATGGGATCTACCTGAGTGTTGACTTAGGAAACATTCAGTGGGTCTCCACTGACAAGTTGAGACTTTCCATGCGCTACTTATTGGCCTGAATTATATTAACACTTGTAAGGTTTTTATACCTATAAATCACATGGGGAGGACTGTTGTTTTGAAAGATGATAGAAGCACCTTGACCAGATAAACCTGTTTTTGTTGTTGTTGTTGTTGTTTGATATCTTGGTTGCTGTTTATGATGGAATCTTGGTTTGTGTTGTGGATACATGTATTTTTTTACTGCAACCCACCCAGAGGTAGTGGCTGGGCCACTAGATGGGTGGGGTAAAAACGGAATAAAATAAAAAATCAACCAACCAATCAATTTCTATACTGGCCATCTGATCAATGGCCACCCTAGGCGGTTTAAAAAAGGGGCATAACATAAAATAATATAAACATAATCAAAGTGAAAGTTTAAATTAGAAAAAAATATTAAATAACTTAATTAAATTTAAAAAGCTAGGCAAACAAATAAGTTAAGTCAAAACCTTCCTTGTTCCAGAAGGCTTTCAATTGACATTGTCCTGATGGCAACTTTTTAGAGTATATATTTTAATTGTATTTTGATTGTTTTATCTTTTTTTTACTGTAAATTGCTGTAAGCCCGCCCAGAGGCCTTTGGGTAGTGTGGGCGGCATATAAATTAAAATAAAATAAAATAATAAATCCCCCCAACCTTCAAACTGTACTTTGAGATGGTACAGTCCAGTACGTATTCCCCCCCCCGTCACCTCCGGACTATTCCATTCGCCAGCCGGCGCCGAGGGAACCCCGCCCCTTCTGCTGTCACGTGATGCCGGTGAGTCAGCACAACCTCGGTCACGTGAGACAACAGAGGCCACGGCGGTGGTTGGGTAAGAACGCAAGTGGGCGGCCCTGCCTGGGTTTTGTTTTGTTTTTTTTAAAAGTCCGGATCACGTGGTGAAGGGAACGGGGCAAGGGCTCTGAGATAGCGTAGGCGGCCGGGGGAGTGCGTGCGTGGTGACGTCGCCGCGCGAGGCAACGTCGGGCGGCGTCTCCGCCTCCTCCCCCTCAGACCGAGGAGGAAGAGGAAGGAGGCGGAGGCGGTCGTGGTCGTGGAGTGAGGGGGGGATTTGTATACCGTCGGTCCTTCCCGTGTGGTTGTTCCCGACCATGGCGATGGACACCAGCGGCAAGGAGAAGGAGGCGCTGCAGCTCCTCGCCGAAGCCGATAAGAAAGTCCGAGGCTCCCACGGTTTTTTCTCGGGGCT